AAATGAACTAAACGGCTTGAAACGACTTTTCAAAACCTAATCTTGATTGTCAACTTTATAGTTTGATTTTAATACTAACCACTTAGATGTTTCAATAACCAATGATAATTAAATATAAACGTAAGGTTAGCTTTTTTCAAAAAAAAATGTGTCGCGAAGTATCCGTACAATTTATTTGACTACAATACAATGGTTATTAAGTCTTCAAAAATAAATGTTTAACCAGCCGTAAGAAACTTTTATCTGCATATTGTTATACTACTCTTCCTTTTACATAAATATTACGTTCTCTTGAAGATCGTTTGGGTATAATTAATTGAATGGACAGAATCTATTTTCTTCATAGTCAGTCGGAATTGTCCTTTTAAAGTATTTTAATAACTCACTATTCACCATTAAAATTTCATTGGTTCTTTGTGTTAAAACAAATTCTTTAGTGGCTTATATGAATCGTCGCTAAAATGATACTCCATAATCTGGTTTATAAAACATCAGGTGTATGAACAAGTCCAAATTATCAGAGCAAAGCAGATGGGGGGGAGTTAGTTACTTTTTAAAAGTTGTTATTTATAGCATCCATTTTTATATCAAGTACGATTACCATTAACAACAACGACGTGTAGTTAAGTGTTAAATATTATAATTGGGTATGGTTCCTACTTCTTTTGAATAGTATCAGCAATATATAAATATATACACTGACGGTTTAAAAGTTGTCAGTCAATACGTATTCTTACAAGATTATCTTATTTCTTTCAACACGCAATTCGACGATAATCAGAATGATCCACATGTTTTTGATCATAATCTAAGACTTCATGATCACTGAAGTATGATATGAATAACATAAACAATATTGTATATCATGATTAGGACACATTTGACATGTGATGATTTAAAATCATAGTGGGAAACGAATCCAACATCTGAAAATGACTGACGGAGTGCAAATTACATCTAGCTGACGAGTCCCATGTAGAACGAAATGGGCATCACAGATCCCACTGCTAGCCACATTCCATATATTCTATACTGACTTAACAACAATTTACTGATAAATTATTGATGGCTTTATTTACATTTGATAATTATGGTTTTAATTATTTCTGTGAAACCGCTAAAACCAGATTTTTAAATGAATCATGGGAACTATTCAATTTCATTTACTGATATTTTCACAAATATTATTATGTATTTAATTGATTTTAACTCCGCCTGGAGTCCCTCCGGTGGCTACTGCCGGTCCCAAGCACGGATAAAGAAGGAGGGTTGGGCATGGGGTTAGCGTCCCCATCCCGTAGAAAACTAACTCGCTAAAAAAACGCTAACCAGAAAAAATTATTCAAACCTTTTAAACTCTGCCCTGGGAGTCAGAAGGTCTTCATTTAGAAGAATTATGACGCCTCATGATGAAAGCCGAATTCCTTCGGAAGTTACGAGGCCGATGCCCCTTCTGACAACCAGAGCAACCATTTATTTAGGTACATGGAATGTTCGTACAATGTGGGACACCGGAAGAGCCTTCCAAATTGCTGCAGAAATGAGAAGATACAACCTAGAGGTACTTGGGATCAGTGAAACACATTGGACACAAGTTGGACAACAACGACTAACTACAGGAGAGCTCCTGTTATACTCCGGCCATGAAGAAGAAAATGCACCACATACACAAGGAGTTGCATTGATGCTGTCCAAACAAGCGCAAAATGCACTTATAGGATGGGAATCTCATGGACCAAGGATCATCAAAGCCTCGTTCAAAACAAAGAAAGAGGGCATTTCAATGAACATCATCCAATGCTATGCGCCTACCAACGACTACAATGAAGACGCTAAAGATCAATTCTACAATAGGCTGCAGTCAATCGTCGAGAAGTGCCCAACAAAGGACCTGACCATTCTGATGGGAGATTTCAACGCCAAGGTTGGAACGGACAACACTGGATATGAAGACATCATGGGACGACACGGACTGGGAGAAAGAAACGAAAATGGTCAGAGATTTGCAAATCTATGTGTCTTCAATAAGCTGGTCATAGGCGGCACCGTATTCCCACATAAACGCATACACAAAACCACATGGACTTCACCGGATCACTCTACACAAAACCAAATCGACCATATTTGCATCAACAAAACGTTCAGGAGGACTATAGAGGACGTGAGAACCAAGAGAGGAGCTGATATAGCATCAGATCATCACTTACTGGTCGCCAAGATGAAATTGAAACTCAAGAAGCACTGGACAACGGGGCAGACAGTATCACAAAAGTTCAATACGGCCTTTCTCCAGGATACTAACAAACTCAACAAATTCAAGATAGTCCTCAGCAACAAGTTCCAGGCCTTTCATGATCTACTCAATGGAGAAGGAACTACTGTGGAGAGCAACTGGAAGGGGATCAAAGAGGCAATCACTTCAACATGTCATGAGGTCCTGGGTCACAAGAAGCACCACCACAAGGAATGGATCACTGTTGATACACTGGATAAGATTCAAGAAAGAAGAAACAAGAAGGCAGCGATCAATACCAGCCGAACAAGAGCAGAAAAAGCTAAGGCACAAGCTGAATACACGGAAATAAACAAACAAGTGAAGAGGAGCATCAGAACCGACAAACGTAAATATGTGGAAGATTTAGCAACGACGGCGGAAAAGGCTTCAAGAGAAGGAAACATGAGACAATTGTATGACACGACAAAGAAACTCTCTGGAAATCGCCGCAAACCAGAACGACCAGTGAAAAGCAAGGAAGGCAAGGTAATCACCCACATTGAAGAGCAACAAAACAGGTGGGTAGAACACTTCAAAGAACTCTTGAATCGACCAGCTCCACTGAACCCACCCAACATCGAAGCAGCAACCACGGACCTCCCAATCAATGTTGGCCCACCAACAATTGAAGAAATCAGCATGGCCATCAGACAAATCAAGAGTGGCAAAGCAGCAGGACCGGACAACATCCCAGTAGAGGCTCTAAAAGCAGACGTAGCGGCAACTGCAAGGATACTCCACATTCTCTTCAATAAGATTTGGGATGAGGAACAAGTACCAACAGACTGGAAAGAAGGACTTCTAATCAAAATACAGAAGAAAGGCGATCTCAGCAAGTGTGATAACTACAGAGGCATCACTCTTCTCTCAATACCGGGAAAAGTCTTCAACAGGGTATTGTTAAACAGGATGAAGGACTGCGTAGACGCCCAACTTCGAGACCAACAGGCAGGATTCCGTAAGGATAGATCGTGTACAGACCAAATCGCAACTCTACGGATCATTGTGGAACAATCAATTGAATGGAATTCATCACTCTACATCAACTTCATTGACTACGAAAAGGCATTTGACAGCGTGGACAGAACAACACTATGGAAACTTCTTCGACACTACGGCGTGCCTCAGAAGATAGTCAATATCATACAGAACTCATATGATGGATTACACTGCAAAATTGTGCATGGAGGACAGTTGACAAAGTCGTTCGAAGTGAAGACCGGTGTTAGGCAAGGTTGCTTACTCTCACCGACTGGATCATGAAGACGTCAACATCTGAAGGAAAGCGCGGGGTACAATGGACATCTAAGATGCAGTTGGATGATCTAGACTTCGCAGACGATCTGGCCCTTCTATCCCACACGCAACAACAGATGCAGGAGAAGACAAACAGCGTGGCAGCAGCCTCAGCAGCAGTAGGTCTCAACATACACAAAGGGAAAAGCAGGATTCTCCGATACAACACAGCATGCACCAATCCAATCACAATTGACGGAGAAGATTTGGAAGATGTAAAAACCTTTACATATTTGGGCAGCATGATTGATGAACAGGGTGGATCTGATGCAGATGTGAAGGCGCGGATCGGCAACTCAAGAGCAGCATATTTACAACTGAAGAACATCTGGAGCTCAAAGCAACTGTCAACCAACACCAAGGTCATGATTTTCAATACAAATGTCAAGACAGTTCTACTGTATGGGGCAGAAACCTGGAGAACTACAAAAGCCATCATCCAGAAAATACAGGTGTTTATTAACAGTTGTTTACGCAAAATACTTCAGATCCATTGGCCGGACACTATTAGCAACAACGTACTGTGGGAGAGAACAAACCAGATCCCAGTGGAGGAAGAAATCAGGAAGAAGCGCTGAAAGTGGATAGGACACACATTGAGGAAAGCACCGAACTGCGTCACAAGGAAAGCCCTCACATGGAATCCTGAAGGTCAACGGAAAAGAGGAAGACCAAAGAACACATTACGCCGAGAACTGGAGATAAACATGAGAAAAATGAACAAGAATTGGATGGAACTAGAAAAGAAGGCCCAGGACAGAGTGGGTTGGAGAATGCTGGTCAGCGGCCTATGCTCCATTGGGAGTAACAGGCGTAAGTAAGTAATTTAATTGATTTTATGATCATCAAATGATTTTATCTTATTGATATCATCTATTCTTACAAACAAATGGATCTAGAGAAGCATACAATTATGCAATTTGTCAATCAAAAACAGAGTTCACGTTTCACAAAGCTGTATAGGGCATTATTTACCATAAGTTCTTAATCCCAATTATGTAAGACCAATGCAACTAACCAGTAACTTATTTATATAACTTTAAAGACCAGATATGACAAGTTTAAACATTCAACAAATGTCTTTTTAGAACAAAGTATACGGACAAATAATAATAATATTATAATACATTATCTAAAATGAAATACATCAATAATATTGTATTAACATTGATACCAAACTATGTTTCATATTAGATTAAATACAACAATGATATTTACTACCACTCAAATACAGTTTTTTTCACTCATATTTCACTTATTTCTGCAATTACAACATTGTTGATTACTAAACATCCTAGTCTCTTCCATCTAAAATATGTTTAGCCAGACACATTAAGTTAAATATTTTGATTGGTTAACTTGATTGTATCGGTTTAATAACCAATTATTGATTATGTCTATCGGTCTATGTATACAGAAGAAATAGGAAGAATATTAATATTAGAACCAAAGGAATAAACTCTGTTTACTATTTATTGTTTGATAAACATATAACATTAACTAGGATATCACGTGTAATACAGTTTCATTGAATTATTTTATTTTTGGACGATACTATGACTAATTATCACAAGAATGTGGGTATCCAACCATTGAAAACATTTTTAGCTCGTGCAATCTATGATAATCTATCAGAAAATCCAACAGAATTAAATTTTTCACGTGGTGATTTAATCACAGTATTGGATAGAAATCCATCTGGTTTAAATGGTTGGTGGGTATGTAGTATTCGTGGTCAATTAGGAATTGCACCGGGTAATCGTCTTGAACTATTAGGCCTTATAAATGTAAGTAACATTTTATCTATATAATTTCATTAGTTTAAAATACATTGTCCGTCTGAGTTTAACTTTTGCAAATCATTTAATTGATAAATCAAAGGGACAGCTTATCGATACTTGAAGTATTAATGTTCTTTCATGTGTAAATTTTCACACTTGGTTCCTCTTTCAGATGAATTAGTTAGACAAAACCATAATTGTGACACAATCAAAGTACTTTATAAATGTACTAGTTTTACGTTACTTCAGATTCTTCAATTTCATATGAAACAGTTTTAATGTGTTCGTCCATGATTAAAACAATTGAAGTAATGGTTTTTTATTATATCATTACTTGTTGTCATATTACTGGCACGGACTTTAAGGTTAAGTATCTCCTGTAAATTTGGGCAACATCATTGATGAACACGGTGGATCTGATGAAGATGTGAAAGCGCGGATCGGCAACTCAAGAGCAGTGTATTTACACCTGAAGGAAATCTGGAACTAAAAACAACTATCAACCAGCACCAAAGTCAGAATTTTCAATACAAATGTCAAGACAGTTTTACTGTATGGGGTGGAAACTTGGAGAACTATGAAAGCCGTCATCCAGAAAATACAGGTGTTTATTAACAGTTGTTTACGCAAAATACTTCAGATCCGTTGGCCGGACACTATTAGCAAGAACCAACTGTGCGAGAGAACAAACCAGATCCCAGCGGAGGAAGAAATCAGGGGGAAGAGATGGAAACGGACAGGACACGCATTGAGGCAAACACTCACTCGGAATCCTCAAGGCCAAAGGAGGAAAGGAAGACCAAAGAACACATTACGCCGAGAAGTGGAGACAGACGTGAGAAGAATGAACAAGAATTGGATAGAACTAGAAAAGAAGGCCCAGGACAGAATGGGTAGGGGAATGCTGGTCGGCGGCCTATGCTCCATTGGGAGTAACAGGCGTAAGTAAGTATCTGTTGTAAATAAAAATAAATTTTACTTTAGTTCACACTCGTTAACTATAGTGCTCCCTATCAGCCCGGATTCAGCATAAGACACAATTGCACAAGCATGTATAAAAAAGGATTTTGGAAATTTTCGTATTTTCTCAAGTCAATAAAATGCACTTAAAAATTCAAATGGACTAAAATCCAGATTCTGTCATCTTAAGACTAGTAAATTGCTAAGGAATTCTAGGTTTTCCTCAGTACCTGTTTGAGTAGAAGTAAAACTTTAAAGTTTGTAGTGAATTAGTTTCGTGAAAATATATACCCGTCTGCCTAAATGAACTCATTTTTCCCACTACTATAGGCCTTCATCGTAAAATTATGTGGCGATTGTTTTCACTGTTTCAATTCGCTAAATTTGACTAGTGTCAGTCAAGATTTTTAACATAATAAATAGTCGAGAATGTGATTTGTTGTTCTTATGTCTATTATGTTTTCGTTAAATAGTATTTCGCTATGTCACTCAAAGGTGTTAATATGATAGCGTCTAAACTGTAGTTCAACCAAATATTATTTTATGACAATGATTGAGCAAAATTCTGTTTGTTCAAAACCGATATCTATACACTCAACTATACTTAGTCAATTATTTTCACGAGACTCTAGAGTTGACAACAGAGTTTGTTACTAATTATAATATTCACACTTCTTGTCATTATTGTCACCAGTTGAGCATCTAGTAGTAACAATATATTATTTATTCATTTTAACTGATAACTAGCATGTAGTCTCAAATCATTTATTATTTGGAACGCTTACAACATATTATTACACATGTTGAAATCATGAGTCAGTTGAAGCTAGACCACCATTGAAAACCTGGAAGCACTGGACGGCCGTTTCGTCCTGGTATGGGACTCCTCAGCAGTGCGCATCCACGATCCCGCACCACGCGAGGCTCGAACCCAGGACCTACTGGCTTCGCGCGCGAGCACTTAACCACTAGACCACTGAGCCGGCATCCATCGGCGTTAATATCTAACTTCAACCAATCCACGAAGTTGCGCCACCGTACACCATTGTCTTCAGTGAGTTGTTATCTCACAACAGACCGGTTGAACTCCACTGGTAACGGCTTCTCACTAGAACTTCAGGAGTTTTTCCTGAAGTCAGTCACTAGTGAGCAGTTGATTATTATTATCAGAATGGGTTTTGTGGAGAATTTTAGAAATTTCACATGTTGAAATCATGAGTCAGTGCTCGCGCGCGAAGCCAGTATGTCCTGGGTTCGAGCCCCGCGTGGTGCGGGATCGTGGATGCACACTGCTGAGGAGTCCCATACCGGGACGAAACGGCCATCCAGTTCTTCCAGGTTTTCAATGGTGGTCTAGCCTCAACTGACTCATGATTTCAACATGTGAAATTTCTAAAATTCTCCACAAAACCCATTCTGATATTATTACACGTTGTAGAAAACAGAACAACCGACCCTTTCATTAGGAAGCTTTAGATGATTTTGATCATTTCTGTGGTATTTATTAAAAATTACTTACGTTAATAATGAGATTTGTCAACTTATATATGCATATAAAAACTTCCTTTTGACTTCTGTTGGTTTGTTGATTGCTTGTTACCTCATTACTTCAACTAAACAGATGGCGTTGAATGACCGTCGTATTTGTTGAATCTTCAAAAATACAAATACCTAAATTGTATTGGGTTTCATGTGATCCGGGATCATATTATCGGAGTTGTAATATGTTCTTTGTATATTCTATGTATTTAGAACAAAGTTAATTGCGCAGTTAAATGTATGAACCTATCGTCATTTGTCTTCTCCATTATTATCTTTGACGCTTGTCATATTGGAATATAACGGAAATTCTCTATTCTGCCGTCAAACATTCAAGTATACTTTCATCTGTGTTGAGGATGTAAGTTTGAGGGAGGACGGTACCTGTATCAGATCAAATTTTGTCTTAGCTCCTTATTCTTTTTCAGACAATTCGAATTTCACTTTATGTGCAGCGGTTCTTCTATGAAACGTTCTTTGTGATTTTAAAAGTGTTTCTGAATAATTTCAATATTATCGAAGTCGATCTTGTAGTCTGATATTATAGGATGTAGACTTATGGTCTAAGATTTTCCAAGTTCTTTTGGATTTTTTGTTAGTCAAACAGAAACACGACCATGTTCATCTATGTTGACCTTTACTTCCCGAGAAGTTTTTTCGATGTATGTTGAGTCACGTCCCGAAAATTTTGTTTTCTTGACACAATCAAATTACAAATCTTTTGGTATTTTATCTTTCACATGGACTGGATTCAATTTCAATGTGTCTGATGTCCTAAATAATACACTGATGTTGCATATATTCAGTACCCAGTTGATCTCTTCTATGTGTAATTTGTATAAAACAACGACTCTTGTGTTTCATGATGTTGGTGTAAATTTTCATTTACGTTTATTATAGTTTTCTATTTATTAGACAAAATTTTCGGAAGGTTATTTATTTTAAGAATTTTGGTTATGTTTGTTAGTTAATACGCATGTCCTTTTGATAAAACTGGAGAGAAATGATACGTCTACAATGATGGGTTTTGAGGATGTCCTCTAATGCCATCTAATTAGGCAATGATAGAAGGTAATTCACTATTGTCTGATTCTGAAGTAAATTTGATATAGGGCAACTCATCGTTTAGTTTCTCCGTAAATGAGTAGTGGATTTTCAAAATCCACAACTGATCTTAATAGAAATGAAAGCTTGTATATGTTTAGTTAATCGTAGATTCTTTAAGATATAGAGAATTTCGGCTTTAGTTTAAACCATATGGAAGTTTTTATTTTTGGTTTCAATTCTTGAGGAAATCTGTTTGTGCTGAGTCTTACCTTGCTAATTTTGTCGAACTTTTTGTTTTCTTCAGTAAGTAAATATAATCCATTGATTAAGTGTTCAAATGACTTCTCATAATGAGTTTTGTTTGTAATTACAGTTATTTTCCCTTTACTGACTTTAGTTTTCACAGTGATTTTGTCCTCTCTTAAGTTTTAAAGAGCTTTATACTCCCTGTTTAGTGATATCAGAATTTATTTTTCGTTTTTTCATTAGAATATGTAATATTTTTTATGCCAGTAATGTGGGAACAGGTTTGATGATCGATTTTGTTTTCCAACCCCTAATGGCTATTGTGTAATATTTTCGGTTAATATCTTGTCCGATATGTTATCTATTGTTTTAAAATTGTTCTTTTCATTTGTTGAGGTGTTCTTTGGATTTTCAATCCCTTTAATTTTATGAATTCCTCTACTTATCAGATTTTTCAAATATTTTGAAAATGTAATTTCAGTTCTTCAACTAAATTCTGAATGGATTCAGATGTATAAGGTTTATTAATCTTTGATATACATACATTAATATGAGTATGCTTGAGCCATAAATATTATTATGCTGAAGGCAAGAAAAGTTCCTATACAACATTGATTTCCCTTTTGTGTATACTGTTAGGATCCTGATAGTAACTAAATCTTATCACAAAGGCTTAAAATAGCTAAGATTTAAAAACATTTCAAAGATTATGTTCTTAAATGTTTCAGTTGAAGAAAATTCGGCGAGACTATAATTTGTGGACGAGCCAGTCAGAAGCATTGCAGGGAATCCAAGGTCATGGCGCCAATTTCAGTACCTGATACTCACATACGATCGGTTCATAGCGGATTTTAGAGAAAACGTGATAATTAACCGACTACAATAGATGGGACTATTAAGAAGTTCCTTTATTTGTTATTGTGGTAATAAAATAACTTGTGTGATGATGTTGTCTTTCGATGTAATATGTGTTGGAGGAAGATTTCTGCTAAAATAGGATTTTTTCGCTCTATCCAGATTGGGACTAAGGTAAATTATGACAGTTCTTGCGAACTGGATAATAAAAGCACCAAAGACACTGGCTGATACCGGGTACTACAATATATACGGATGATTGAAGAGCGTACAGATGGCTACATGAACTTGTTGATATGCATCGTGTCGTTATTCACAAGTGACATTTTATGGACCCAACAACCGGAGTGCACACAAAA